AGAGAGAGAGAGAGAGAGAGAGAGAGAGAGAGAGAGAGAGAGAGAGAGAGAGAGAGAGACGGATATGTCTTATGAGGGACAACGGATCATGGGTTTTAGGCCGATTTGGAGTTTTTAGTTTCTATGTTGGTAATTTGATTAAATACTGCTAGGTGTTATATCTATTAAATAAGGATATATTTAAAATTTTGCCCGACAATGAGGTATATATAAACGAAAAGTATAATGGGAACAATTTTAAATAATACTCCCTCCGTTTTAATTTATGCGAACCTATTTTTTTTTTAGTTCGTGCAAAAAAGAATGACCCCTTTTCATATATGAAAATAATTTACCTTTATGCAATGATTTATAGCCACACAAAATATATGTGCCTCAATTTATACTACAAGCTTAAAAGTCTTCTATTTTTATGCTCTGTGTCAAGTTAAATGGGTTTACATAAGTATTTAATAACAACAGCAATAACAAACCCAGTTTATTCTCATAAATGGGGTCTGAGGAGGGTAGTGTGTACGCAGACCTTACCCCTATCTTATAGAGATCGAGAGACTGTTTCCGATAGACCCTCGACTCAAGGAACAGTGAAGATAAAGTAACAAGTAGCAAACAATAGTAACATCAGTGTATTATGGTAACGGCACGAATAACACATCATGTAATAGTAAAGAACCATGAATAAGATAAAACAGAAATAGTCCTAGTACTACTGATAAACCTAGGAGGAACACACTACTATCTGTCAACCTACAACCCTAATCCTCGACTTCCACACCTTTCTATCGTGGGTCATATCCTTAGTAAGCTGGAGCAATGACATGTCCTGCCTAACTACCTCTCCCCAATACTTCTTAGGCCTACCCCTTTCTTTCTTCAGACCCGCCATGGACAACCTCTCACACCTCCTGATCGGCGTATCTATGTCTCTCCTTTTCACACGCCCGAACTATCTCAGCCTCGATTCCCGTAATTTTTCCTCCACATATGCCACTCCTAGCCTTGTCCCTAATAACTTCATTTCTAATCATGTCCTTCCTGGTATGTCCACACATCCATCTCAACATCCTCATTTCAACTACTTTCAACATCTGGTCATGGGACTTCTTGACATGCTGGCACTCAGCCCCATACAACATAGTCGGTTTAACCACCACTCTGTAGAACTTGACCTTAAGTCCAGGTAGCACATTCTTATCACACAAAACCCCCGAGGCGAGCCTCCGTCTCATCCACCCCTCTCTAATATGATGAGTAACATTCTCGTCAATCTCCACGTTGTCTTGAATAATAGACCCAAGATACTTCAAACTATCTCTTTTGGGGACGACTTGAGTACCAATCTTCACTTTCACTCCTTCTTCATGCATCCCATCACTGAACTTGCACTGCAAGTACTCAGTTTTTTACCTCCTCAACTTGAAACCCTTAGACTCCAGCGTCTATCTAAAAACTTCTAGCCTAGCATTAACTCCGTATCGTGTCTCGTCAATCAGGACTATATCATCAGCGAATAGCATACACCATGGAACCTCCCCTTATATGTGTCGTGCCATCACCTCTAACACTAAGGCAAACAAAAACGGGCTAAGAGCTGATCCCTGATACAACCCGATCTTCACTGGGAAATGATTCGAGTCTCCTCTCGCAGTCTTCAGCCGAGTTTTTTCTCCATCATACATGTCCTTAATAACCCTAATATACACCACTGGGACACCGCTAGCCTCCATATATCTCCAAAGGACCTCTCTCGGGACTTTATCATAGGCCTTCTCTAGGTCTATGAATACTATATGCAATTCCTTCTTCCTCTCCCTATATTGCTCTACCAATCTTCTCACAAAGTGAATGACTTCTGTAGTAGACCGTCCCAACAAAAATCCGAACTGATTCTCGGAAATTGTAACACTACATCGCATCCTCCTCTCCACATCCTCTCCCAAATTTTTGTAGTATGACTCAACAACTTGATGCCCCTATAGTTGTTTCAGTCCTGGATATCACCTTTATTTTTATACAATAGTATCATCAAACTCCACCGCCAATCTTCAGGTATCTTCTTCGTCCTAAAAATGATATTAAACAACGCAGTAAGCCACTCCAATTTTGCCCGACCCACTTCCTTCCAAAATTCCACTGGGATCTCGTCAGGACCAGTTGCTTTACCCCTGCTCATATTCCGCATTGCCCCTTCAACCTCTTCCCTCCTAATATGCCTACAAAACCCAAAATCCCTATGACTCCTTGAGTTTTCCAACTCACCTAGCACGATGTTCATGTCCCCTTCCTCGTTCAAGAGTCTATCGATGTACTCCTTCCATCTATGCCTGATACACGCCTCTTCCACCAAATCCTTACCATCTTCGTCTTTGATGCACCGCATTTGGTCCAGGTTTCAAGCCTTTCTCTCCTAATCTTGGCTAACCTGTACAACTTCCTGTCTCCTCATTTTCCCCCAAGATCCTCATACAATCTCTCAAAAGCTACAGTCTTAGCCGTCGTGGCTGCCAACTTTGCCTCTTTCCTTGCCTTCTTATAATACTCCCTACATGTCCTTTTCTCCTCCTCATCCGTGCTCCCCACTAGCTTCAGATATGTCGCTTTCTTAGCTTTCACTTTTACTTGGACCTTCTCATTCTACCACCAGTTCTCTTTATGGCCTCCCGAGTCCCGAATAACCCTTTGTTACCCCTTAACACCTCTCTAGCAGCTTCCCTAATGCAGTTCGTTGTTGTGGTCCACATACTACTCACGTCCCCACTACTCCTCTAGGCCCCCATGGCCAACAACTTCTCCTCCAACTCCTGAACCTTTGCCTTAGTCAAGGCTCCTCACTTAATCTTAGGTTGTCCGTACACCACTCTCTTCTTCCTTACTATCTTGACCTCCAAGTCCATGACCAAGAGCCTATGTTACATTGACAGACACTCACTCGGGATAACGTTGCAATTAGTGTAAAGGCCCCTATCACCCTTCCTAAGAAGAAGCTAATCAATCTGAGTCCTGGCTACCTTACTCCAGAAAGTGACCAAATGCTCCTCCCACTTCTGGAAACACGAATTAGCTAATACCAAGTCAAAAGCTTTAGCAAAATCCAACAATGAGGTACTGCCCTCATTCATAACTCCGAAACCGAACGCGCCATGCACCTCATCATAACCCCTAACAGTAACCGCAATATGGCCATTAAAATCACCCCCTATAACGAGCTTCTCGGAGCGTGGAATACCATGCACAACCTTATCCAAATCATCCAAGAAGCGCCTTTTGACCTCCTCGCCCAAGACCACCTGTGGCGCATAAACACTAGTTACGTTAAAAGTGACCCCACCAACTACTAGCTTAATAGTCATTAGCCTATCATTCATCCTCCTAACATCCACCATCATCTCCCTGAGATCCCTATCAACTAAAATACCTACCCCGTTTTTGACCGCATCTCCTCCTGAATACCATAGCTTATTCTCGTTAATATCCCGAGCCCTCGTACCCTCCCATCTAGTCTCCTAGACACATGCTATTTTAATCTCCCTCTTTTGAAGAATCCTCCATAACTCTATAGACTTACCCGATAATATCGCTATGTTCCAGGACCCCACTCTTAGCCTACCAGATCCCTTACCCCCTCC